GTTCCACAATAGTCACACTTTGCCTACAGCTCTGCACACACTGACCAACTTTAAGGAGTATTATATCTATACACATTTTTATATTCGTCTACATAATTTTCAAGTATATTTTAAGATTATGAAAACCGTTAATTCAGTCAAGTGTGTCCAAGCTTCTCACTGGTATATAGCTGATTCATTTTTTATGATATTGAAAAGTGTAAATAATACGCTCTTCAACTTTATTTCAACAATAACATATTTTCTCCTTTTACACAGGCAGTATTTTCAAAATCTGGTGACCTAGTAAGTTCAGCATCCCTTCCGCTGAGATCAACAAAATAATTTGCATCATTTTTTCATATTAATATAATGAAAACATGACTCACTACATATTACATATCATTTTGCAGAGCATACCCTACAAGGGCAGTTTACTTAGAGGACTCATTCCAGGGCAGCGGGCAGCAATCAAAGGGCACATCAGCTTATTTCCTCACAGGTAGTTACAAAGCTTATATTTTGTACAGTTTTGCCCTTTAATTGACACCTTTAATTATGTTGTTTTGTCTCTTTTTAAGTTTCACTGTTAACCTGAGGTGTAGCCAATCAAACAACATTGCCCTGCACCTGAACTCGCACATCAAATCTGGCATGCTTATCAGGAACTCTCTTCTCTGCCAATCATGGGGCCCAGAAGAACGTGAACTGCAATACTTTCCTTTTTCAGCTGGAAACTACTTTGAGGTACCTCTATCTATGCCACCAGACTATGCAGACCTATGTCATTGCAAGAGCGATGTTTTAGATAACCATGGGGAACTGTTTTGAGGGTAAAGTAAAAGTGAATGTGAAAAAAGTGAGTGAAGTGACGTGTGGCCAAGTATGGTGACCCATACTCGCCATACTCGGTCTGCATTTAACCCATCCAAGTGCACACACACAGTAGTGAACACACACCCACACACACACCACACACACCTGTTCACACCATGAAGTATGATACAGTTAGGTCCATAGATATTTGGACACAGGCACATTTTTTATTATTTAAGCTGTTGACCGAAACATATTAAAGTTACAGTTATATAATGAATATGGACTTAAAGTGCACACTCTGAGCTTTAATTTGAGGGTCCTCTCATCAAAATTGGAGGAAAGTTTAAGGACAATTGACTCAAAAGCTGTTTCATGGACAGGCGTGGGCTATTCCTTCATTATTTCTACATCAATTGAGCAGTAAAAGTTCTGGAGTTGATTTTAAGTGTGCCATTTGCATTTGGAAGCTGTTGTTGTGAACCCACATCATGCGGTCAAAGGAGCTCTCCATGGAAGTTAAACAGACAATTGTTAGGCTTCAAAATAAAAAATAAATCCATCAGAGAGATAGCAGGAACATTAGGAGTGGTCAAATCAACAGTTTGGTACATTCTGAGAAAAAAAGAACACACTGCAACATAAAAACATAAAAAGGCCTGGACGTCCACGGAGAACAACAGTGGTTGATAATCGGATGATCCTCTCCATGGTAAAGAAAAATCATTTCACAACATCCAACCAAATGAAGAACACTCTCCAGGAGGTAGGCGTGACACTGTTAAAGTCTACAATCAAGAGAAGACTTCACAAGAGCAAATACAGAAGGTTTACCACAAGGTGCAAACAAGACCAGATTTGACTTTGCCAAAAAAACATCTAAAAAAGCCAGACCACTTCTGGAAAAGCATTCTTTGGATGGCTGAAATTAAGACCAACCTGTACCAGAATGACGGGAAGAAAAAAAGTATGGAGAAGGCTTGGAACAGCTCATGATCCAAAGCATTCAACTTCATCTGTGAAACATGGTGGAGCAGTGTGATGGCATGAGCATGCATGGCTTCCAATGGCACTGGGTTACTGGTGTTTATAGGTGACGTGACAGAAGACAGAAGCAGCTGGATGAATTCTGAAGTGTATAGGGATATACTGTCTGTCCAGATTCAGCCAAATGCAGCAAAGTTGATTGGATGGCGCTTCATAGTACAAATGGACGATGACCCAAAACATACAGCAAAAGCAACTCAGGAGTTTTTGAAGGTAAAAAGTGGAATATTCTGCAATGGCCTAGTCAGTCTCTTGATTTCAACCCGATTGAGCATGCATTTCACTTG